GGGATTAGATTAAGCAGTTTAAGATATAGTTCCACTTTCCGCCACCAGATGGCGACCATAAAAATGCAAATTACTCCATTTTACAGTTTACTCGTGGTTTTTGAGATTCAAATTTCTCGAGAAATTTAACTTTATATTTATTTTTAATAAGATTTTAACTAAACTTTTTATAGAACATATGGGATAGAGGTAGTGCTAGGCTTACATAACAGACAACGAATATACCATTTAACTGTTGTTTAATGAAAAATCATAAGAAATATTACAATTTACACTAGTATTTGTATTTAATAATAGTTGCCTTAAATGCGACATGTACATACAATTTTACAATATATTTATAACAATATTTGTATAAATTCAGTAAAAGTGGGCTTAAATATTGTTGCGTGGGTGCGGCATCATCTCCAATAATAACAAGAAAGCAGGATTTATAAAATGAATAATTATTTATTCTAGAGAAGGAGTACTTATTTTTGTCACGTCATTCTCTTTCAAAGGTCCAACCGTGACTCTACATTATCTATGTTGGGCGCCGTTACTAAAACGACGCCGTCAACCGAATTTCTCCCGCATTAACATTTCACAATACGTGTTATCTATCGGGTAATACGTAATATGTAATATTATGTAGATAACATACGGGGTGTCTCAACTAACTTGATCACTCACCTCGAATAATTACGTAACGGTATATTTTGTGGGTAAAGGCATTTCAGAGATTTCAAGGTCACCTTGATTTTTTTTAACGGGATGACCTGTTTCTTGTACCATAGATCGATAGTGTATCGAATTCTGAGTAAAAATGTGTCGACCTTCATACGTATAGCCTAAAGCTAATAGTTAATGAGATATTTACAAAATACTCACTGTAGAGATAGCACATTTTTACTCAAAATTCGACATACTATCGATCTGTGGTACAAAACATAGATCATTCCGTTAAAAAAAATCAAGGTGACCTTGAAATCTCTGAAATGCCTTCACCCACAAAAAGTACAGACTTTATAAGATGTGCCCCTTAATGCCATTTAAGTTCCATGTCTTAGAATTTTCATAAAGTGTATCGTTAAGTCATTATTCGAGGTGATTAATCAAGTTAGCTGAGACACCCTGTATATGTATATTATACATATACGGGGTGAACAACGAATCGTGATCAGTAAATATCGTTAGATGTTTTCTAATGTACAGAACGAAATGTTTACAAACAGTAGACAAGATCTCAACATCGGAACGCGTACAATGGAGTAGTATACGATACTCTTTGTAATATTACAGTTCGAATATTTCTTTAATCTTTTCTCGACCCAGATGAAAGAAAAAGTAACACATGTTATGTTATGATACTTACCGAATTCGTCTTGAAATCCTCTAACAGATAGGCGTAAACAAATTATAGTGTATTTGCAAAAAATTGAAGGTGACCTTGAAAAATCATGAAAAAAAACAGTTGACAACAAATTTGCTACAATCACGTTGAAGCTCTCTTGAAAACATGCTATACCTGATAAAAACATTTTCGATCGGACTGCTAATAACAGAGTAATATCTACTGATCATGATTCGTGGTTCACCCTATATAACAGTGTTATTTATCCATCGCAAGTAATTCCCTCTTCTGTAACTTATGAATCATCCGTAGGATCTTCAAAGATTTATAATATTTTCGTAAGGTTGTCATCGAATTTCCATTTCTGGCGGCATACGATAGACGTGTGTAATAAATTGCAGTATTCCTCTGTCGAATTCAATTTGTGTGTAGGCGGTAGAATGCAGGGGCACCTATGTTTGTTGTTTCTGAAAATTATATGAATTTGGAGAGGAAGAATCGTCGACGGCTCCGGTCGCTAAAAATGAACTCGAAATGAACTTGAAAATTTCCGTTTTTTTATACAATCGATATTTTCGAACATGTGACACGAAGTACCATAAGATGTTACACCTATTCTACACTCATCTGTGGACATAGATCAGGGCTATGCGTGCCGAATTATCAGGCGTGTCGGAATATTGGGTTTAACTGTACTTACGTCAATATACAGCAACTAGTATCTTTTCAAAACACAGTTTTCTTCAAAGAAAATTGTGAACGTAAATCGTTTAATTCAATCTTTGAAAACCAGTTTATGGAAAAAATTCTAAATGGTGTACCATATAATACACGTTCAGCTATGTACTATCTGTATCGATCGTCTGAACGAGTTATGAGTATAACAGAGTAAAGTAAAAGATATGTTCCCGTCGAGCAGAAATATCGTTCTAATTTCCTCTAGTTCGCTCTCCCTGTGAATGAATGAACTATTATAACATCGGAACGATTACTGATGTATCTTTCATCAAAGGACATGAAAGCCCAATTTTTAAACTCCTGATTCGTCTCAATCGGTTTTCCTTTGAATTTTCCACGTGGAAGATAGTGTTCGCTTCGTATTCCTTCTTTCTACAGGACCTTACACTTAAGCACTGAATTAACTGTTAGGTATTGTTTAAACAAGTATTTGTATGATGATTATACTGCATTTAAATTGCAGAGATTATAAGCGAAGATTAGCTGTAGGGATAATGTCGTTTTTTAAAATAATTATGAATATAGCTAATAGATATTGTGTTAAATTAAAGGAATCACTATTTTTACAAGAAATTTCTTGTCATTCGCGCGGCGCGGCGTGTAAAGTAGCGAGGTATTATACATATGAGTAATGCGGATTTTACAGTATTTAAACGTTATTATCTTAAAAATGGATGCGAGTATGAAAAACATATATATAGGAAGAAATTATAGAAAACTTAACGCTCTTTTAATATTATTTGAACAAAATTTCGATAAAACGTACCATTTTTGAGAAATTTTTGATAAACTCCAAAAACATCGATAAATTCAAAACTTTAAGGTCTGGTCGGCACCCTTTTCTGTTGTCCGATTGAAACAAACTTTTTCATGCATCATTTTTTGATAAAATAGACCCATACTAGGGGGTAAAAGCAAAAGAAATCAGATCTAAGTCAGCATACTTTATATGATAAAAGCAATGTGTTATTTATCTCGATATCATGTATTTTTAATATCTAATTAGTCTTTGACGAACGGAGCGGATACATTTTCCGTGTTACAATTTCAAGAATGTTTTAATTGGAAATCGATTTGCATCGTTAATCACGTTTTCAATTGAACACAGCGGAAATATAATTACTGTTTGTGCCGGTCAACTTGCACAAAAGCACGTTTGTGTAATGTCCCGTGAATTATATTGCCAAGATGAATGTATCCACGTAATATTATCATTGCTTGTCGTACACAATTACACTTCAAAAATGGAAGAAGAGTTATATACCTTGGAAGAAGAGTTATAGATTTCATATGAAATATTCAGTTAATTGTTCCTATAACATTAAACGAATCGGCAGAGAAGACATTATCGTGATTCAATATTCACAGAACATTATTTTATACATATATTACACATATAATTTATATGTTTATGTAGGTTTTTTTATATACTATTTATATATCGTTTTATAATGAGTTTTTATGTTTGTTCATTAATAATATGTTATGTCAAATACGTTTTTGATTTGCTACGTCCAGGGTGCTTCAAAATAGCACTTTCGTCTTCAATAAAATCGAGGTTAAAAAATCAAGCAAACGTATTTTGTAATCAAACTAGCCATTGTATTCATTATTTGTTATTGTTGCTGTAAAAACCACCCATATTGATAAAGTAAATCGTAGATTCGAAGTATTTGTTAAATATACATATTTCTCTCTTTTATGGTAGCCTGTGATAAGGTAATTCTTGAAATTAAATAATTTAAAATTAATAATAAGTTTGATCATAAAAATGATTCTTATTGCATTTAACAACTTTTTTGCAACGTTTACTCAAACCGTATAACACGTATATCTTTTTTGTAAAATTCAATAGTTTTTATGCATAAAATAATCATTTAAACAATGCACCCTCTGTGAACGAGTTTTTTTCCATAGCTCCCTTCCTCCCCTAATCAGAATTCATGTGACTTTTTTATGTTCCCAAAAACTAAAATCCATGTCGAGGGTTGTCATTTTGGAACTGTGGACAGTATCTAATAGGTTGTGAACAGACAATTGCGATGTTTATGCATTTATAGTATCTCTTAATACGGACAATATTGTAGATCCCAAGGTAATTTTACAATGTTTGCAGGGATGTATACTCTTAAATTGGACTGTTTATATTTATGAATAAAATTTCTAAAAAAAAAAGATGTATTAGATGTTTAACAGCCAAGAACTGTATTATATGCTCAAGCTGTAGAGTTGGACTTTGTATTAAATGTATTACACCTTACCATTAATAATATGACAATTAATCAGATTACTTTATGAATCACTTGAACTTCTTAATCATTTTTTAACGCATTTTAATGAATAAACTTACTTCGTAGTTGTTTTAATCTTTTCTGTCACCATTGAGACCTATTGGAACATATAATGCCATTGTAAAGGACTAATGGGGTTAAATGTCCGATTTTCAGAACTAGGCTTAATCTATCCTTTTTCTTCATATTTGCGTGTATTATACCTCGTACTATCATATTATTGAATTCATCGTAAAAACAATCCGTCTCGATCAGGGTTAAGTTAGAAAATACAATAAAATAAAGGTTTTAATACTGTTTACTACTAGTTATGTGTGAGTATTAACGTGGTAAAGTCTCTAGTACAGAATTCAAAATTCTGCTCCATTTTCAGATATTGATATCCGAAATTCTGAATTTGCATGAACTTCCGCAGGCTAGTTATGACAGTTCAACTAAAGGCAGTTCCAGTTGAAGATGTCCAGCACTGTTTCAAGAACTGAGAACAACATCTCCAGCAGTTTGTGGCTACCCAAGGGACTATCTTGAATGGGATAATGTTAATTGGTAAACAACTTCACAAATTTCTGTGTCACCGGCGCCGTTACTTTACCAGCAGATCAAGTATATTATAATAATGTAATCGTCGAGCAACTCACTTGGAAGATAGTGACCTTCTTCAGTACCGACAGATTCACGTGAAGCGCCAGTTCGGTCTTCAGCTTATCCGGAAGCAGGCCCAGTGCCGTGTTGATATCACCTCCGCCCTGTATCCTCCCGCGAGACCAGCTGTAGTCGTACCACCTGAGAACCCTTCTCTTCATTCCCCCTGGGACCTTATGGTGTCTCATATAGGTCTTGGCGCCATCTAGAAGCCTCTCGAACTCCAGTCGATTCGCGTTCCGATTGGTGATCACGTTCCCGACCTGTCCGACGATCGTAGCGAATATGAAGACTCCGATCAGGTAGCTGACTATCGTGAAGACGTATCTACGGATCAAGAAGCGAGAAAAAGATCCGATCAGTCCAAGGAGGATGTGATCGCTGTCCTCGGTACATGGACGAGCGGCCCCCGCCGGAGCCTTCCTCCTCTTTCCTTTTTCTCCGTTCCTTTCTTTCCCTCTTTCTTTCCTCTCTTACTTGCACCACGTTCCCTTTCTTACGTCCATTTCCCACCATCACACGTTCGATCATCTTCCTTCCTCCCAGCTACAACGTAATTACTTACATCTCTCTATTCACCACTGTCTCTTTGTAATTTGCTAGATCTGATTTTCGAATCGGACTCTTCGGTTCACCCGGACCCTGTCTTTAACCGTAATCGTTGAAACAGGCCTGGGTGTTCCGGGGTGTTCGAACTACCTATTTCATTGAGTATTCATGGGAAACTGATGAATGGAAAATTGGGGCATACTTGTTTCCCTGATAGATAGCTTTCGGAAGTGGATCAGCGCATCCGATGAAAAAGTGATCTTGTATTTCTGCAATAGCTGATGGTTTTTTTTGTTTTGCAATACGTAACACTGTGCCCGACTAATAAAATATATACATACTTGGACAGCTGACACTTCAACGCGTAGTTTAGAAAAGAAACCATCACGATTGATTTAAGTTATTTTGAAAATGAACGACGAGAAGTTGTACTTTCAAGATTTTCATTTCCGAAAAGGGAAAAATGCAGTACAAACAACAAAAAATGCTTGCCTATACATGTTGATGATGCTGTAAACGGATGGAAATAAGAAAAAGTATAATTTAACTCATTCTCAGAATATGTGAAAAGAAAAGCGTCATCTACTGCAGATATACGAGGTTACTTTTGGCCAACCTAATATTTCAACATTCCGGAAAAACGAAGGCTGGCTAATGTAATTTGTTATTTCTTTCTGTTTTGCGTGACGATATTGTTCATGAATACTCTTCTGTACCCGTGGATTTGGTCCTCTCCGTATATGAATTAATAACTTGACCAGAGAAATTAAAAAATGTGTCGTGTTTCCGAAACATTTATAGATGTTCGAACGTTTCATAAAATTTAAATAACGAAGCAGAAAGTATGAAAATATTATAATCCGTTAAATAAATTGCTTCTGACATAGGTGTTTTGTTTCTTTGGATATTCGGAAGTATGTAGTAACTACAAAATCCAACATGTCTTAATCGTAAAATAAAAGTTATATACCTATTATGGTTTAATTTCATTATCGGAAACATTAGATAAGAATTTACTTTTCAAATTGTAAATATTTCTTTTATGTGCAAGTGTACAAGAATTTGTTGCTTCTCGAATAAATCAGATAAACACAATCTTTTGCTCTATGCATCGGTTCTATGAGTTAAACAGATTTAAACCTGTAGTTCTAAAAATCATTTTATATAGGTTTCGACGATTTCCAGTGTAAGCGTTATTAAGTGTACATTTCCATGTAAACGCTTTTAAAGAATGGCTCCTTTATGATTTTTGTAACAGAAAACTATAACACATAAAGTAAACAACCAGTCCGGGGTTTATTAACCCGCAGGTGGGCGCGCCCCTTAAAGTTACACGAATATTTTGATATTTTGATTTGACTGTCAAATTAATACAAATCATTTATTCAGAGATATAAAATACATGTTATACAATGTAAATATTCTTCAAATACGTAAATTTCATGTATACTGAACTAATTAAATTCATGTTTTAGCGGGTGCAGTGATAACACGGTTCAGTTTATAACGCAAACCACTAGTTTATTATTACTGTTATTATTATTATTATTATGAAACAGATTAGCATATCATTATTTTATTATATAATAAATGGGAAGTAATTATACGCATATGAAAATACAACTTAAGCACTTACAACAGAAAAATAATACAGATTGTGATTGGACAAAAATGGAGCAGTTGTTTTATTATCTATGTAGATAGATTTTGTTATCTATGGAGATTATATGTATAACATAGGCAAAATGTGCATAAAAACTTCAGTATCTGGAATTATATGATTTTTATTTTTAGTATTGATTCTCAAATTTTATATTGGTAATGTAGAATCTTCTCTTTCAGTATTATGTAAACAAAAAATGCACATTAACTTTGCTTTAGAGTACTTCCGGCATACAAAACTTTTATATGACTCGCATTTAATTGAACAATTGAACAATTTGAAATAAACATTCATCTTCGATCATTAGATGAATAAATTCTTGTTAGTTTTAAGTAATAATGGATTTTGACTCCAATATCATACATAAGAAATTCGCTTTTGCACGGAATGACAACTGCGAAATGATTTAGTCATAATCCCGAATTTATTTTTCATATTTCTTACAAAAATTATTTTTCATGCAGCCTTCATAATCTTCTCTTTCTGTGTACCGGTAGTATATTATCTTCAGATAGAAAGTAAGAATAACTATACGTCTCTACATCATATGCAAGACAATTTTCTACAAAGCAACGAAATATGTTTCGAATTTCCTTATTACTTCCAAGAATCGTTGAAATCCAATTTCTGCGTCATCCTTCAGAAACACTAAGGATTATATGATGCGATAATTCGCTATTAGGGGATTGTTCACTAGGGGAACGGTAGATAAACTCCACACTGATTGCTTCCTCCATATGTTACAGTTTTCTGTTACAAAAATGATTAAAAGGCCGTTTCTTACAGTGTTTACATGAGAATGTACTCATAATTGCAAATTTTAAGAACTCCAAATATGGGAAAATCACATTACCAAAAGAATTTATATTCCCTGAGGATTAATCAAAGATTGAAATTCTAGTCGAAGACATTTTATCGCCCCTTTACGTAATAAAAGCTTAGCGCGAGATTTCTTTATGACAGGAACGATATTTTAATAAATTCATGCTCGCGACCGCGTGCGGAGATTCTAATAAATCGAGACGCCTTTCACAAACGAGATTCGATGGCAACTTTATTTATGTTCTTTGTATTCGAATCTGGATGCCCTCACTTCTACGCCTCGCGAATGTACATTTTTCTGAGCGATTTCTTACCACCCCTTTTCTTTTATTTCGATCACGCGTAGCCACACACACATACATACACACGTATCACCCACATTCACACCACCCACGCTTTTACACACACACACACACATATACACAGAAGGGACAAGCTTGCACGACCTTCTCCTCTTTCTTTTCATTCCGTAACGTTCGTTCCGTAGCGAAAATTCTGATCCGTCCACTCTCCTTCTCGTACTTCCGTTAACCCCAAGCAAATCTACGATCTCGTCTTTCATACTGCTTCGTATTTTCCTCCACCAGTTTTATGTTTTCACACATGCACATCACCGTTCTCTTCTTTTACCGTGTGTCGAATTTACAGACGTTTCATTTACACGCGCGTTGCGATGTTCACGAACGAACGTAATTTAAAGACGATGAATTGATTTGTACGTGTGTGCTTATTTGTCACATTGTTGGGAAGGTAATGGAAGCTTGAACATGTTGAGGCTTCCGTTTTCTCTATTATAATAGTAAAAAACAGGGTGTCCTATACGAAAGAGGCCACATAAATATCTTCTTCCATTTTAATCATATGAGAAATGTTTAAAACACAATTTGAATGGATTCAATAGAGGAATACCGTGAAAGAAAAATGTTGTTTAAAGTAATTTCCTCCGTGCTTCGTTTAAGACTACCGGTAGTCTTTTACAGGAAAGCAATTATTTCTATTTTATTTTGTAACAGATGGGAAAAAAGCACTTGAACATGTTTCAGTGCTCATAACATCATAAACATTAAGACAGTATTATTTGAATGGTAAGTGAACCTACTCTTTTATGTTACAAATGCTGAAAATGTTATCCCTTTCATTTGTTATGCGATATTTTTCTTTCGAAACTATTTGAATTGTGCTTTAAATATTAATCATATCATTAAAAAGAAAAAAGATATTTAGGTGACCTCTTTCAGATGGGACACGCCATATATTAAGTACTGGAAAAAGTTCGATTCATGTGTAATATATGTTTTCTGTTTGAAATACAATTAGCGAAACTGGTCAAGAAATATGATTATTACAACACCCAGTAGTAATATATGTATACTGACCAATATATAACAAAAACTATTACTGAATCCGCTGCTGAAAACAGTCTACTATGAGATAAATATTTTTTATTCGTCATATTTTTGTGCAATCCCCCTGTGGAACTATTGTATTTTTTGTCATTATACTTCTCAACTATATTATCACAATAAATTTCATGCCACTAGTTTTTTTATTGATGTGTCATTACCTAATCTCGTCTCTTCAGATTTGGAACTATCCACAAATGTCGCATTTCTGATCGATCAATGCCTTAGTTAAGGGGTTAACTGGCCTACAACGTGTACCAGTTATCTTTTAAGAAATACAATAATGAAATCCGACGAGGAGCTTATCTGAGAAATAGTAACCTTCTACGGTACCAACAAAATTTACAAATCGTTCCACAATACATCTGTGTATGGGTTAACACTACACGTTCGCTGCCGGCGACTCCGATTGGAGGTATAAAGTGATTTCAATTGGAGTCACCGTAAGCAGCAAGGTACACAATGACTTATTTTTTCAAATCAGTCTACAGGTCGTAATTTTCAAGTCAATTTGAAGCTCATTTTTTTAAATTCTTCGTAATGAAATTCTCTATCAATCCGTGCAACATAAATGTTCAATTTCGTTGCTTCTTTGTTTATATCTAGTGGAACATATAGATTTTTAAGATGATCAGTAGCTATGGGATATTTTGAGATGAGGTCATTATTGTAAAAATCAACATTTTTATTTGTACAACAGTCTCATATTCTAAACTAAATTGTAAAACTGAAAATGGCGGATGTAAATTCGTATTTCTACAATTTTCTACTCACCTCATAAATGTGCAGGTGATGTCTGTGTTCATACGCGTTCTTATAGTTGATTTTTCTGACATTTTTGAAAGACTTGATTCACTGGACGTTTCATGCTAGTTTCCCTTAGAAATCTA